AGAGGGGGGGGGGGGAAGGGATTTCCCCTCTCCCCCTCCCCCACCCAGAAAGTCTGCCCCAAATCAGAGACCGCTCAGAACTGCTCGCCCCTGCCCCCTTCTCGGAGCCTTACCCAGGTTGGGATCCGTGGGCCGGTTCCTTCCCTTCCAGATGCCTTGATGTCTTCTGGCTGGGCTAAAGGCTCCAAACGGGACAAGTAGCTCCTACCTCCAGCCGGAGCGCACCGCTGGGTCCTAATGCGCCACCCAGCGAGGCTCAGCCCCGCTTCTTTTACAGGGGACCTCGAAGGGCAGTTGCTGGCACTAGCCGAATTGCAGGGTGGTTTTTTGGTTTTTATGTGACACACTTCGGTACGTGTCAGTGGCGTGGCGAGGGTGTTCTGCCTCCAGGGGCAACTTTTGCGCCCCCCAATCCTTCGTCCATGTTATTTCTTTCTAAGTCAGCAAAAATAAGACTTAAAAAAAAAAAAGAACAAAATCAAAAAGTTGCTTCCATAAGCTTCCGCGTCCATTGTCCGTTGTGTCCTGTTGCTCCCGGAGTTGAACGTGTTTCAGGCCAGCGTTTCGGCCGGCTTGCTCCAGACATCCTCACGGTAGGGATCTACTAACCGACCTCCTAATAGCCAAGGATACGGGGATCTGTTAGTACAGTGTTTCCCAACTTTTTTTTAATAAAATACCCGTTTTCCCCAAAAATAAATAAATACAATTATAAGTACCTCAGTACCTACAGTTTTCAAACACACCATTTTTTTTCTATCATCGCCAGACAATTGTTTAAACAATTTATTCATAGCCGGGCAGGTGATGAAATTTTTGGGTGTAAAAGGTACAAAAATAATAAAGCGCTGTAAAACTTACAACAAAATTTCCGTTTTCTCCAGATTTCAGTTGCGTTGATGTACCCCCCAGACTTCTCTAGAGTACCCCTAAGGGTACTTGTACCCCTGGTTTAGAAACACTGCATGAGTAGATTGTAGTACAACGCATGCCACATCACCTCAGCGCTCGCAGTGTAACATAACTATCCTCCTATTTACTGCGGGAAGGTTTCGCTGGCACCTTTTCACAGTGGACTGTTGGAATAGATACAAAACAGGAAATAATCATAAAACAGCGAACAACAACTTCTGGAAGCTAAATTGGTGCCCCCCTAGCGTGGCATCCGGGGGTGACTGTCCCCCGCTACAACCCTGGTGCATGTTTAGCTAAGAGCTCAAGGAGAGAAGAGAGGGGCTGGATGTTGTTTGTGCAGGACCAAGCAGGGTGGGTGAGGGTCCACCTGCAAGGCTGAGGCTCCAGGGACATCACTCTCCTGTTTGGCCTATGGCATTAAGAGAGTCCAGGACACAGCGGGGACCAGGGGTCATTCCCTCGCCGGCTTAGTGGCTGGTTTAGTCCAGGTCCTGGCAGACAAGTATTCCCCTAGCAAAGGCCCCATTATAACTGGCACCAAGGGCCTGAGCCAAAGTCCCCCCTCCCAGCCCCTGGGTCTATTAAGATAGGTCTACATGGCACTGCAAACCCCAGCTTTGTGCCCAGACACCCCTTCCATCCACACAGACCTCAATCCAACCTGGGCCAGGAGCCCTTCTTGGCTCCGGCCGCCAGCTGGGCTGCAGGTCGGTGGGTCAGAGCTCCAGTCCTGCCGAGATGCCCGGTCCTTTTGCAGCATGGAGGCAGCTCAAGCCATGGATGAAGTCAGCTGGGATGTGTCGCACATGAAGGACGTGCCAAGGCAAACGGGATACCTGGGTCCAGCCACCGTAAGCCCCAGTTCAGGCCTAGAAACTAGGGATGTAATAGTGTAGTCAATTAACTGATTAACCAATAAACAAAGCCACCCTCCCCCCCCCCCCCCCCCACTAAATTTTTTAGCAGGCTGGCCAGCAGCCTGGCTCAGTCCCAGTTTGCACTGAGTCTGGGACCTACCCTCTGCTACAGCTCTGTATTTAAAGCATATTAGGTGCCAGGCGGGCAGGGAGCCCGGCTCAGCTCTGGCTCATGCCGGGTCTGGGAGCTCAGCCCTGCCCCGGACAGGAACCCTCTGTCACTCCACACTGCTATCTATCTATTATGAGAATATGGGGGTTGTGCACCGCTGTCCTAGGCCAATCCAGAACCCACCCAACCTGGGATCCCCAGGCCAATGCCCTATCCCTTAAGCCTGCGGTTCTCAACCGATGGGTCCATGGTGACTTTTTCGGTGGTCCACAGGAACATTGTCCAAAGTCACATGGCATGAGCAGGTACTGCTGTTAGGCTGTTTTACGCCGTGTTCACAAGCATGCGGCGTGTTGTCCATAGCGTCACCTAGGACACAACCGTGTTGTGTTGCCAATAACTTCCGACTGAGGCTCTGAGCGTCAGCGTAGCTGCTGTCATCGTGCTGAGCGGTTGCTGTGTCGTTCGTCCTGTGCTACATGTGCTGTTTTACAGTTGTGGTGTAGTTTGTTTATAATGGCAACGACAGGCAGAAATGTCAAGCGCAAGCATTCGAAGGACTACATCAAATTCGGCTTCACTTGTCAAGAAAAAGAAGGTGTGGGTTTGCCGCAATGTGTTATTTGTTTTAAAGTCTTAGGCAATGACTCAGTGAAGCCAGCTAAGTTGAAACTCCATCTCGAAAAGTGTCACCCCAACTTGTTGCAAAAGGATGAAGATTATTTTGACCGGTGGTTATCAGGTCCGAAATGGCAGCACCTTGACTCAACAAGCGCATTCTACAATAAGACAAGCAATGCCGTGTGTGCTTCCTACATTGTTGCATACAAAGTTGCACGGGCCAAGAAGCCTCGTACCATTGTAGAGCAACTTGTGCTCCCCTGTGCAAAAGAGATGGTGTGGCTTGTTCTTGGTGAGGAAGCAGCAAGGAAGCTGAATGATATATCTGTCTCTAACAACACAGTATCGAGACAGATAAATGAGATATCACAGAACATCAGTGAACAAGTTGTGGATGAAATAAAGAAGTCTCCATTGTTTGCCATACAATCGGATCAGTGTTTCCCACTTTTATTTGGCCACGGAACCCTTTTAAATTCGGAAGAATTTCGAGGAACCTGTACAGCCAGGGGGAAAATTTGTAAAGCAAAAAACCCCCCCAAAAACAAGAACAAAAACCCACCACCGGGGAATGGACCAGGGAGACCTGGGGGCCAAAATGCGGTCACGCATGTCCCGAGCCAGCTTTGGAAATGCAGAGTGGCAGTGGGGGAGGGAAAGTGCCTGAAAGCCAGCAAGAAACCAGAGAAGGAGCTGGTGTCTTTGCGCACCGGCTCCTCTCTGTCTCTTTTGGAGAGGGGGGGAAGAATCGAGTTCTCGCGGAAACCTTACTTTCACTTCACGGAACCCCGGGGTTCCACGGAGCCCCATTTGGGAAACACTGAATTGGATGAATCAACCGATGTCGCATTGTGCTCTCAGCTATTGGTGTTTGCAGGATACCTGGTTGAGGGAGTCTTCAAAGACGAGTTTCTTTTTTGTAAGACTCTTGATACCACCACAAAGGCTCAGGATGTGATGGAAATTGTTAACATTTCTTTGAAATACATGGTCTGGATCGGGTAAATCTTCTGGGTGTCACCACTGATGGGGCACCTGCCATGCTGGGCTCAAGATCGGGCTTCCAAATGCTGGTGAAATAGCATGCTCCAATGATAACCGGAGTTCGTTGCTTCATTCATAGGGACGCTTTGGCGTCAAAAACATTGCCTGATCAGCTGAACGCTGTTTTCAAAGGGTTGGTGAAAGTGGTGAATCACATCAAATCATCGGCTCTGAACACCAGGCTGTTCAAAAATTTTGCCTGGAGATGGGTACCGACTTTGATATGTTGCTGTTGTACACTTCTGTACGGTGGTTGTCAGCAGGGAACATACTCAACAGTTTTTCAATTGAGAGAGGAGTTGGATTTATTTCTCCAGGCTCAAAGGAAAGAGGAATTCTGAAATGTGCTGACACAGTCAAATTTAGAACTTGCGTATCTTGTCGATATTTTTGGAATCTTGAACAAACTGAATCTTCAGCTGCAAGAGAAAGGTGCAAATCTGTTCTCTCACCAAAGCATCATCAAGGCTTTTCTTGACAAATTGGAACCCTGAATCGTAAGAGTCGAAGGCAATAATTTGGTTCAATTTCCATATGTGGATGCCATGCTCGGGGGAAATGAAGCCATTCGGATGCAAATTCTCGATCATTTACGGAAGCTACGAGACGAATTCCAACGATACTTTCCAGAGGTGGACAGGACAAGGGATGGATTATCTTTCATCAGGAATCAATTTACAACAGATGTTAATAGTGTTCCAGAGGATCTGCAGGAGGAATTCTTGGATCTGAAAAATGATTTTGCAGCTCAAGACATGTACCAGAAGTCTACCATAGAGAAATTTTGGGCCAGCGTGACTGGGAGTTACCCAAATCTGTCAGCACACGCAGTCAGATTTCTTTAGCCATTTGCATCAACTTCTATGTGTGAGACTGGATTTTTGTGTTTGTTGCACATTAAGTCCAAACAGAGGAATCGGCTTGCAGTGGAAAGTTATATTCGTTGTGCCTTATCAAGTACCACGCCAAGCATTGAAAAGCTTGCCAGTGAGAAGAGAAGCCAAAAATCTGTTAGTAAGAAATAAATTTCAAACCAAAATGTTCGTTGTCTGCTCTTTATCATCATGTCTCAAAAAGGAGTTGGTCCACGAACATTTTTTGGTTGGCCTGGTGGTCTGTGGACTGAAACGAGTTGAGAACCCCTGCCCTAAGCCAATCCAGAATCTGAAACAGGGACGGTCCTGTGGGTTAAAGCCCAAAAGACCTGACTCCTGGGTTCTGCTCCTGGCTCTGTCGGTGACTTGCTTGGTGACTTGGGACAAATTGCTTCGTCTTTCTCAGTCTGATGCCCCCATTCGAGCCTGGGAAGTGAGGTTCAGTCTTGGGGTGACAGGCAGCCAGTCTGTGAAGGGAATTGGTTTTTAAACTGGCTCCTTTGCAGATCAGCTCCCATGTGACACCCCTCGCTGCTGCCTCTGGGGACTATAGAATAGTCGAGTGACCAATAAGAATTCATGAGGTTAATCGACTATTCAATTAACCGATATTTAACATCCCTACTAGAAATAGCAAGGCTGCAAGTGTGGCTCCGACAGAGCTGGCCTGGAAGGACAGCGCGCACCGACCCCCAGAGACAGTCACCCGAATACACACGACACAAATCACAGACTGGAATTCCTTTTTCCA